TTAACTTTAAAGAGCTTTTGGGTTCACCTTAATGGTTTGGGGACATGGTCAAAAGGCTTTACAGAATCGCAAAAGAAAAACGGACCCCTGGTTGTTTGGAGTGGGTGTAGAAAAAGTACTACTAAATTTTTGAAAATTTTACAAGTGAGTTTTTAGTCTATCCTAAAATAAATAATATGAACCTGCAGGACACAGATAAGTTTTTAGTCTTTATGTTCTATAAGGGGCGAAAGTCACAAACTAGCCTTCTTACATTTGCATCAGAGAAAGTATAATAGACATTAGCTACAAATGACCAGAAATCACACAAACTCAGTCAATATCTCTGGCTGAACATTATTTTAAATAAAATTTCACCTTCATTACTGTTTTTATTCTTTCTGGTGTCTCATTATCATTTGTAGGTAATCAGTGTATGTGTTTATATAGATTGTATACACTGGATGTCTACAAAAGACTTGATAATCTTTATGGCATATTTATGAATTACAAATAAGAATTTGTCAGTTGTGTGAAATTTGGAAACAAGAATTCAGATTTGGTAAATACTTCTGATGAACAGGTACCACGTGAATATCCCTCATAAGCGCCTGCTCTTCCGTTTATCCTGTCGGTTCCCCAGTGCACGCGTGCTCACGAACACACTCAGACCTCATGTGGTCTAAGCTTTCATTTGTGAAAGTACAAAACTATAGAAAAGTTTGGGTTCTCTGTTTCCTTCTTTCATTCAGAAACACTTATCAAAGTTGTTAGGTGCTAGCTAGACAGTGAGACTACAGAGAGAGAGAAATTCAGTGTGTGGGGGGACAGGCATGTAATATATAAAATTGTTGAAATGTGATGTTATTTTAACAGAAAAAGTTTTAAGATTCTATGAAGCATCGATGAAATGCTTAACTTGGTTTGAAGAATTTGAACTGAGTCTTATTTTTTTTAAGAAGATACTGATTTAGTTTTTGTTGTTTCTTTTTTTTAAATGTTTTTATTGATTTCAGAGAGAGGAAGGGAGAGGGAGAAAGAGAGAAACATCAGTGACGAGAGAGCCATTGATCGGCTGCCTCCTGCACGCCCCCGACTGGGGATCGAGCCGCAACCCGGGCACGTGCCCTGACTGGGGATCGAGCCGCGATCTCCCGGATCACAGGTCGATGCTCAGCCGCTGAGCCACGCCGGCCGGGCCGCGCCGAGTCCTGAACGAGCTGGCCTGTGGTGCGTGATTGTGCGGAGGCACTGAGCTGTGCGTGGGTCCCAGTTCAGGGATTACAAAGCTCTCTAGAGGAAATGGTAGGTGAGGACTCTTAATAAAAAAAAAAAAAAGGTGGAAAATGGTGCCTGGGGGCGCTAAAATCCCAAGGTCATAGAGATGCTTACCCACCTCGCTCAAGTGTTAGGCTGCTATGTTGTAAAGAAAGGAGAGCGTGTTTAAGAGCTTTCAGCAAAGCAAAGCAAAGCAAATTTGTGTTTTAGAAAGACCGCTCTGTCAACCATGAGGAAGACGGACTAGAGGGTGAGAAGGGAGGAGGGAAACTGGTTGCTGAAGAACAGAAAGAGCACAGGGGAGAAAAATGGTGAATGGCTGGACTGATACAAGCAATGGGATTAGATGGCCTTACTGCAGCTCATTAGAAACAGAACACTAACTGCCGATTCAATGATTGAGGTGGACAAAAAATGAAATATGCCACTGCATAAATCCTGAAAAGGCTTTGATACATAAAATGCTTTTGTTTACACCATCCAACCCAAGATTAGGATTGAGCCTTTGTTTTGTTCCATATTTTAGGGTATGTGTTTCTGGGAAGAAGACTGTAACCACGTAATGTTGCTATGAAAACTGTGTCATCTCTCAAAAGCTTTCTGAAAGCTTTTTGGGTGGAAGGAGGAGAAACAAAACTGCTCAAGTTTGCAATTTTTTCATCCTCAACATTATGCATATTAAAATCTGCTGCACAATTGAAATCTGTAAATAGGGCAGGCCCTAAATAAACTTATAACTGATTTTAATTATACTAAAGGTCAACTGTGTATCAGGTTATTGTGGGAAGCAAATTCCCAGAAAAATGATTTCTTCCTGTCACTATACCAAATCATTCTGGAATCGTCAATTAGGGGCCTGTCACTACGAAAACTAAGTTGTGCTATTAAGACAGATCAAAATACCATGTGAGTAAGTTGTGATTCAGCCTTTTCCCCAGGTCATACAGCTGACCCATTTTTAGGGGAGAAGTACGCAACAGGAGCTCCAGGCTATCGTATTATGCTGTAATAAATATCAGATTTTGAAAAAAAATCCTAAGTCAAGGATCAGATGGTGACTGAATTTAAGTGTCAGGCAAAAATAAAAGCGATCCTGGTAATAATTAAGGCAATCCTAGTTTAGTCTTTACAACAGGAAGTTCTGAAGGTAAAATGCATTAGGAAGTATCATTCCACAGCCAGAGAACGTAGCCAGTGATCCACGCCAGGGGTCAGACAGCAAGGAAACCAGCTTTCATTTAGTGTAGGGAGTAATTGGCCTCACAAGGTAAGGGAATCCTGTGTTCCATTTTTTTAACCAATGATTTAAAGAAGCATTTTCCTCTTTAGGGAGTTGTTAATATAAGAAGAAAATGTGAAGGTCTTAATTTAAAAATAGTCACTGCTGTAAAATGGTTGCTTGTGGTGGATGTAGAAAAAAAATACTAAATATTTGAAGATTTTAGAAGTGAGTTTTTTAGTCTATCCTAAAATGAATAATATGAACCTATAGTACACAGAGGAAAACACCCATAACCTACTCTGGTACTGCTGGTACTAATGTAACTTCACTCTCATTTTAAAATGAACATCGAGGGATATAATTAGATTTTTAATTTTCAAGCTAGTCTTGGAAGCTTTTCCTTATATTTCAAATGACAGTGGGAAAGAAATGGTAAATTTAGGTATGATTCAGCTTACATAATTCCTGTTGCAAAAGGAAAATTCCCAAGTACTTATAACTGATAATACTGTATGCAACTCTAAATGGGGAAACTGAAGCACCAAAGCATAGAGTTTGTAGAAAGGACACGGTGAGCTAGTGCCAGAGTCAGTTATGGAACCCAGTACACCTAAACCATATTCCCATCTCACGGATCACAGAATTCAGCTCTGTGTAATATTTATAAATAGTGATAATTTTGTTGTTGTTTCAAATGAAAGGGAAATCTGTCATTGCCAAAAATGTGGAGGTTTAGCAAGTTCATGAGAATCTCTTTAGTCTGAATGCCATGGCCTGACCTACATTTACCAGAGCTCCATAGGAACTGGCGGAGCCTTCTGACTAGTTCTCCCTACACCCATCGCTAAGTTGAGAGTTGAGAAAGCACAGGCGTTTGCCGCATGCAGGAAATACAAATGATTACGTCATCCAAACTACCTGCTTACCTGACTTCTAATTTCCATAGCAGAATGGCTCCCCTTAATTCACTGAGTATTTTGTAAGATACAGACATAGTCTCACAAGTTCCACCAGGGTAACAGTTTTTTGTTTTTGTGGTATTGTGCCAACCATACATCTCACACATGTTTTGTGCTTCTATAAGATAAGGTAAAAGATAGCTAAATTTAAACTATTACCAAATCTCTCCAAAGGAACTCAAGTTTCTTTTTCTTTTACTATCCATATGATATTTCCCCCTTTTTTCTTTTTTCCTGCCTTCACTGATTGCTTGTACAACAGTAAAATTAATATAAAACTGTCTTTAAAATTATAGTAAATTAATTCTTAATCTCCTATTATAGCTTAAATAGTTCACAATTCATCTGCTGCTTACACTATAAAACAGTTGAATTCAGGGCTTGTTAAGGGGATTTCTTTGGTATACAACCCTGCCGCACATTAAGTCAGAACAGTTTGACTTTCTTCCTTGAAAATGCGAGTTTATTCTGTGTGATATGTTGTGCCATTAGGCTTTAGATTTCTAGTTTTTTAAATAGTTGAATAGAGAATATTTTTAAACAAAAATAATTCAGAAGTCAAATCCCATTGACGTAACTGACAGAACAAACCATTATCCACCATGGTTACTATCTGTAAAGTAGCCCAGGTTCAAACGCATCACGTGTTGAAAATAGACCCCCGGAACCTAGAGCTGGCCGCTGGAGGTGTGTGACGTTTTGGGGGTTCAGGCTTCTTAATGTGCACTTGAATGTCATACTGGCAGTATAATCACTGAGATTTCTTTTACAACAAAAATTGAAGAAAATAAGTTTTGATTTAAAGATAAACTATATACATACTGGCAAAAAACAGCAGAATGAATCCCTTGGCTACGTTATATCCTAATAGTTGTGATTCTGTTTTGGGTTTACGCCTTTTTCCATATTTATTTTAAACATGAAAATTATTTTTTAACAAAGTCCCTATTACTATTCAGTTACCTATGATAGTAGAGAATAGCATTTTTTTTTTTTTAACAAGGAAAAAAACTGGGCATCTGTTTGACAGAAATGAGTACTTCAAGTATGCAAGTAAATCATTAACAGAGCTATTACACTCTAAGCAACAGCAATAACAAGAGCTAGAATATGCATTTTGTATAAAGATTAAATTTCACAACATAATAAATAAATGCACTGATTTATACAACTTGTGAAACTCTTCTACTCATGATTACAAGTAATACTGTCAATTGTTGACTTTGCTGATAACAGCGCTGCCTCACTTAGAGATTCAAAGGTAAAATTCTTGCTCCCAAAGTCACAAAATATACAAAGCTGGTTATTAAATATTTTGTCTGCCTAAAGTCCAGCAAACTAAAATACATCTTGGCAGTTTGAATAACCAGCATGATAATTATTCTGGTACAAAAAGATAAGAAAAATTTTACTATGAAAATTAATAAAACCAGTAAAAGGAGAAACCTGTTGTATAAATAGACATTTTAACAAAAGTGAGACTTTTATCTCACTTAAGAGAGAGAAAAAAATTTGATACAACTTACTTAAAGATTTGAAAATAATTACCATATTTTCCCAGCTCTAGTCAAATATATTACTTCAATTTATTAGTCATCTTCAATATACAATATATAACTCACAAAACTGGGAATGTTACAATACCAAAACCTTTCACAGCACTAGTTACCAGTTACCAGAACTGTAAGAAATCTTTAGTTACATATCAGTTTAATACTTAGAATACAGAAACAGACACGGCTAAGCTGTGGTAAGCAATAGTGCAATCAAACAGTAAGGACCACAAAATATATTCTTTTTCCTTTTTAGCTTGTATATCTGTGTTATCCTACTTCAATGGCATCATTAACTGAGTATAAAACCTATTTTAATACATTTTAAAGTAACCCTATATTCCTTTAAGTTTGGCTATTTTACTCTTGAAATGCAGTTCCTATGAAATACCCAGACTATTGATAAATTCCTATGCAATAACTTGCAGCTAAAATAAAATATGTTATGTAAAGTTTTTAGAACTTTTAAGTAGTGGCTTGGTTTCTATTTTTCCAACTAAAACTTGGAAGTGCATAAAAATTAGGAGAGAGGATATAAATATATGTAAATAGAGTATCTTAGGTAAACAAAGGAAATGAATCTGTTGACCTATATTGTTAATATGATTTTTAAAAACATCGTTACTGAGTTTAATGCAGTTTCAGTTACTCTGCTAAGCTTCTTTTCCTGAAAAGAACAGAAAGAAGTATACAAATAGGTACAGTCCAGCTGTCTTTTATCTCACTGTTCTTTGTAATAATAAACCTTTATAGTTTACACTAACAGAAATATCTCTAAACAAAACTTGAAGAAAATAGTAAAGAAAAAACAATAAAGATTAAAAATTAGTGCCTTGGTGATTATAAAACCAATAATCGTGGCCTTTTAAAAGTTTTGGTTGTTCCTTTTGGAAGGCATCCTACTGGTAGCAAAGGCAACGTGCTACCCATGTGACACAGAGCCTGCTATACAGAGGTGACTGGGGAGACGCCCCAGCAGGGACAAGTCCCAGGCCCCACAGCACTTGGCATGGGGTGGTGAGCTGGGAGGGGAGGCTGGCACCCAATGGCCTGCTGCGAGGCTATTCCACTGTCTAATAGTATTTGAGGAAACTTCACTTCTCTCTTTTCAGCTGATTTGAAAAACTTGGTGTTTTAAAGCTGCCACTTGTATCATCAATCCCTAAACCCAGTGTTTTATCCAAATTTCATCTGAAAAAATGCAGGGTGAGTTTCTTTTTGGGGAGAGGGGAGAGGACAGGAGAAATCCTAGATATTGAGGTTGAGATAGTAACACTTTTATAGCTTAATGAAAAGCTATACCCTTAAAGAATTCACATCTGCATAACACAAAAGTCCAATACGTTGTCAGCTCAGTCGGAGATAACAGAGGATTTACTTTAGAAGGATGTGTAGAAGTTTCCACTATAATTTTCTAAGTCATGGCTTTGCATGAATATTCCTTCCTCAATTCTTGTTAAAAATGGCTTCCATGAAGATTAAAGCAGGGCCCCCTTTATTCATGAAAATCAGATAAAGAATCTCTAGGCAGGAATGTTTTGGTAAATTATATCAATATGTAAAAATTATTAACAAGTCATTGGGAAAGATGTTATAGAATCAAATAATTTGTATTTTGACTGTCAAGAATATGATCCAGTATTTTTCAGGCACTCTTTTAAAGAATTAGCAGCTACCTGAAAATCAAGGTAAGTTAGCATAATAAGAAAAACAGATTTAGTCTAGCAAACGTGCGTGCTTTCTTTAAGGGCATTCACTTTATTTACAATCTTTTTGGGGTTTCATGCCTAACGATTCATTTAATTGTGTGTTGCTGTGTCCTGGAGCATGAACTATGTCAACAGGATAATCTACTGATAAGAGAAAGTGAAACTGAACAAGTTGTAAGAGACTGACATAGTCTTTACTTATCTCAGTACATATTCTTCTGAAATATTTCCTGTGACTTAAGTAGTGAACAAATGAGAATGCCACATGAGCAACAAACAGGGACTAGGATGTGGGGTGAGGGGCTGGAGAGAGACCTGCTGTGTTGGTTAGCCAATCTCCTGTGTTCATCTTTACCTCCAAAATATAATCACTAGGTAGGAAGGGCTCATCAAGAACGAGAGTTGGGAATATACATTGAGAAGAAAATCAACTGGGGTAATAAATGAGTTCCAACTGATTTCTAGGATTAGCAGGAGAAGCAATTGTAACAGTGGATTGGGGAGTGATCTGCTCTGAGGACCTTTTGAAGACCTCAGATCCCTAATAGTTAGGAAGGATAAAATGTATCGAGGCCAATGCTAATCACCTGATGAATGTTGTTAAAAGGTTTTGAATCAGTGGGTCCGCATTTTTATAAGTTCCCAGGTGATAAGGATGCTGCTGGTCCGTGGACTACATTTTGGGTAGCAATGCTTTAGACCAATGCTATCCAATAGTAGAGTTTTTGCAATAATGTAAATGTTGAACATCTGTACTGCCCAGTATGGTTACTGAGCACTTGAAATGTGGCTAGTACAAATGAGAAACTCAATTTCTACATAAATTAATTTATACTTAAGTAGCCACATGGGACTAGTGGCTATGATATCAAAGAGCACAGATCTAGACATTGACCGGTCACCTCTTCTCAGTCACAGTAATGTATATTACCATCCCCAAATTATCTAATCTATTAAATCACTTAGATTAGCAAGTTTCCTTTTATAAAATATAACCTGTGAAATTTAGTTTCTTTAAATTGTTTTCTTCCTAAAACTTTGCTAGATGACCCACAAAGAGCGCTAAGGTGGGGAGAGATGAAAGGAGTCATTTTGCAGTGGGACAGTAGTGAGAATTCAAGCAACCGTCACTGTATTGGGCACGTGGGAAAATGTGAAGCCAGGAAATGGGAAAGAAACTCAGAAAGGGAGGTGGAAAGATGCTGAAGAGAAAAATTAAGTACACACAGAAGAAAAGCAAGGTATTCCTCAGGAAAATGAGACTGAAAGGAAGTGGATGTTGCCTGTGATTCCCTCCATCCCTCCCGAATTATCTGCACGTGGAAGAGCCCAGCGGGCAGGAAAGGCGGCTGGGGCTCCTCACCTCAGCTTACTGAGGACCAAGGCACCTGCCCCGCCCCACACTCCCCAGGGCTGTGATCAGGCACCGTGGAGAAATTCTTCCTACTTTTCTCTTTGTAACCCCATCTGCTACAAGAAGCTGGCTCCTCTGTGACACTGACAGGGGCCTAAGGAGGCTCTGAGGGCACCACCTTGGCAAACAGGTGTGAGTGAAGTCATTCAGGTCCTATACAGCCCCACATGACAAAGTGTACAGGAAAATCTGCTCTCATTTAACAAAAAACATACCAAACTGTCATTTCGAAGGATTTCCCTCATTCAAGAGCCACTTGCAGAAAAATTCTACCAAACTAAAGATTCCATTAAGTGAGGTTTTATAGTAAGTATAAGAGATGATATCTAAGACTGATCAACATTAAACAAAACAATTCACTCATTTACATCTCCCTCTTACATTCTGAAAATGTAACAGCTTGAGAGTGTTCTCTGTTGGCAAAGGGGTATTTCCGGGAGTGAAAATCAATAAAGGTTTTTACATTAACTCAATGTTTTCAACAGTTCCTCACTGCCTGAGCCTATGTTTCCTTTTTTGGTGGAGCTGGACAAGAATCTGTGATCTCAGCAGAGTTCTGAGAATCTGGCATCTCCTGTTTGATTTCACAGGGAAGTGCCTGGAAGAGCGGGACACCGTGCAGGCTGGGGAACTACAAAGGGGACTGGGGGAGAAGACCTGTGATTCCTTAGGTGTGGATAACATTAAAATTTTAAGCAAATAGGCTTTTTACCCTATTAAGTGACTTCATATAATTCTCTTTGAAAAATTTCCATTTATTCACAACTTAGGTAAAACATATAGTCAGACAACTTGGTCAGGAACCCATCAGGGTTCCTTTTTTTTTAATATATCCAAATTTTGTAATTTTTACTAGTAGTTAAATACTAAAGTTATAAATAAGAATAAAGTGCCAAATATTTAAACTCCTTTGATATAATTAAATATGTCTGACAATATTTTAATGCTTTCCCATCAATATTTCTCTTTAAGTATTCAGCAAATAGTTGTCTAGAAAATATCAATGAGAGTATATTTTGCAATTATAAGTGTGTATATACATATATATGTGTATATGTATACGTGTGTGTATGTATTTCTATTGAGCACCTACCTAGAAGGCTACTTTATGAAAATTGTATTCACTGGGTCAGTACAGTACCCTGCTTACTTCTTATATATACAAGATTTTTAAATATTATAATTAACTTTTGGCATATATCTAAAAAAAGCTTATTTAAAGGTATTTTTGTGACTTTTTGATATGAATGCCTTTGGTTTTCAAAGATTTGATAATTGTAATGTTGACTCCTAATGAGCTACACTATAGTGGTTTAGAAAAAGGAAAATAATATCTACCTGATAAGATATAAGAATCACATGAGATAATAATAATAATAATAATAATGTAAAGGCCTTTTAAAAAGTTTAAATTTCTCTTGCTGGGAGGAAGTTCACGTCAGGAGTCACTTTAGCTAGTGCATGAGTCTGGGTGACCGACCAGTATACAAGTCCCAGTTGAGACACTGAAGAAATTCCTGGATGTCAACAGTCTACTATATTATAAATGCAACACACAGCATTAAATAATTATTAAATTGAAATGGAAAAATAAGAATAAATGTGGAAATTTGGGTTTGGAAAGCATAGTGTTGTTAGGCAATAGAACATGTAATTTTATGAAAATATCCAGAGAATTTTCTTACTGTGCATATACCTACTGTTTATGATAGGTTGACATAAAATTGGCTTGCGTAAGATGTATATCATTTGTTGACTATGGCACAGACACATATTCACAAATTCTTAGATACAGAATATTTATGCAAAATCCACATCAAAAAACAGAAAAGTGCCTTAGCTAACAAAAAGGTAGTTGGTAATAAATTAATTCCATTAAACTGACAACACTGAGTGTTACAATATTAGATGTGACATGCAAGAAAGAGACAATTCAGGCAGCAACATCGTGCATTAAGATTTGCATTCATTCATAGTATTTGAGGGATTTTAACCACATTCTTTAACCACAGAGCACTAGGAGTCTGAGGTGATACCAATCTAACATTCAAAACATACCTTAATATATCTGAGTCCCCTAACCAATGATTTTAAGGAAGAAGCCAATGCCTCCGATAATCAGACCTAAGAAGTTTTAGCCACATACTGCTATGCGGTTGCAGTTAGAACATTCCACCTGACCAGGTCGAAGGAAAGCAAACATCTGCAATTTCATTTTTCGACAATGTAATTGTCTCAGATTCTTCCTACTTTTTTACTAGTGTGAGCAAATTTGAACATGTCAGTTTTGCACAATAAGAAAATGGCTTTGTGGAATGAATGTATATTTTGGCACAAAAATATTTTCTAATACCTCAAATAAAAATTTTTGCCAATGGCAAAATATCAAGCCAAAGAGGTGCTTCAATGGTGCTTACTTATCTGGGCAGAAACTACAAGAACAGTCCATTGCTTCCAAGAACTTTGTATTTAGTAGCAATTACTTCCCTCCCTTCCAAGGAATAGCACCAATAGAATTACACCTCAGATTGAGGAGTACTCCTTCCAAGCTCTTTAATTCCCTGGAGAATTCGCTTCACATGACCCACTTTCGATATCCCCAGATCCTAAAAGAAAAAAGAAAAAAGGTAGAAAGAAAGAAAAGAAAGAAATTTATTGACGAGAGAAATGCGGATTAAATATTTAACTTATAATTAGCATTCACTTCATTTATTTCAGTTTATATTCAATGATTTAGGAAGTGAAAGCTAGAAAATACATTTACAAAACAAAAATAACCTCACATTGAAAAATTACCAACAAGTAAAATAATCACATCCTACACAGATTCTTAAATGTAACATTCTCATAAGTGAGAAGCAATGGCAGTTCTTCAAGGGTCTAAATTAGTTTCTCTTCGTTCTCCTTTTTTTAAGGAACACAGGTCCTTTGGGGATCTCTGAGAAAAGCCAGGTATGACACCTGGGCATCCACAATTAGTCTGAAGGCAACTACACACCTCCTTGATAACATAAACTTAAAAGTGAGGCCTAACCCTAAAGGAAGACACCAGTGCCCATTGCCTCATTTGGAACGCAAATACATCTGCAGTTGCATTCATGGTCTTTGATTTCAGAGGAATATTTAAATATTCTTTACAGTTTGTAAAACGTGTAAGTGTAAAAAATTTCTTAAACATAGGTATCTGTGGGTTGCTGCTTTTCCTCAACTTCCTTTGGCTCCTTTCCCTCAGAACTCCTTATTTCTTAAAGAACTATTTTCTATAAAGAACCAAGAATTCAATAGTGAACTTTCAGACATGGATGAAGACCGCAGAGTGTGCAGCACAGAGCAGGCACTTGGCAAATAAATACCTGTTGCAGAATGAATGAAACCCACCCAAGAGAGCCATAAGATTCACTACCTGAAAGACTAAATGAAAGGGTCATGGCCTCCAAACATGAGATCCTTCTTTAGGTGTAAGGGGCATAATATGTGAAGTGAAATAACTTAATTTTACAAAACAGAGTTTAAAACATTTGAAAATTAGTAGAACTATGACTTCCAAAGCAGCCTAGAAAATAGAATTATAAGGTACCATACGGTTATTTTTCTGAGAAGATAAAAATTTCAGATATCCACTCTGTTTTGCAGACTAAAAGCATTATTTACTTTTAAACTTGTAAATGAAGTAAATCAAACTGTTTTATGTACACATACACATGCAGTTGTCTCTCTCCCACATACTTTATCAGCAATCTGAATTCTGTAGCAGAAGTGCTACTGAAGACTCTGAATCCTTCTGGAAAACACTCTTTCCATAGCCAGTGCTCTTTTCAAGCTTGAGATAATTTCAGGGTAAATTTTTTACAATATTTAACTGACCCTGAAAAATATTTTCTCATATTACACCAAGTCATTCACAATCAGTCTTAAGGCAACTATACATTTCCTGAGTATGCTAAAATAACAAAAGGCCAAATCCTAGAGGAAGATTCAATACCAGTGCCTGCTTCCTTAATTTGAAATGTAAATGCATTTACAGTTGTATTCGGATTCTTTGATTCGAGTGGAATGTTAAATAGTCTTTATACTCTGTGATAACATAGTTATCCGGGAAGGCAACCCAAGTGCCCATTAATAGACTAGTGGGTAAAAAAGCTGTGGTATACATATATAATGGAATATTATTCAACCATAAAAAGAATGAAATCTTACCATTTGCAAAAGTATAGATGGACCTAGAGGGTATTATGCCCAGTGAAGTAAGTCAGATAGAGCAAGACAAATACCCTATGATTTCACTTATATGTGGAATCTAAAGAACAAGTTAATGAACAAACAAATTGAAACAGACTCATAGATGCCAAGTACAGACTTATGGTTGCCAGATGGAAGGGGGGGCTGGAGAGATGGGTGAAAAAGGTGAGGGGATTAAGACGTGCAAATTAGTAGTTACAAAATAGTCCCAGCGATGTGAAGTACAGCATAGGGAATCTAGTCAATAATACTGTAATAACTGTAAAATGCCACGTGGGTACTGAAAATATCAATGGGTGCATTTTGTAAAGTGTATGATTGTCTGACCACCACGCTGTACAACTAAAACTAATATAAAATAATGTAAACTATAAGAAAAAATTAAAAATTTACATTTTGAGAAATACATATGTTTAGCACCAAGTATTTTATTTTAGGCCATACGCACACTGTATTCTCAAAAATAAAAACTTTGGGAGGGCCAGACTCTATTCAAAATTACTACTGTAGTATCATGAGTGTTTTCCATAGAGCTGTACTAATTCCTTAGCTACATTCTCTTTGAGTTCAGAAGTGCATGTCTTCTAGGAGTTAGGCTGTGATAAAGTTATGCCCTGATATTAGTTATATGTTTCTTAAATTTTTTTCATATTCTTTATTTTGGCTTTTGCTTTCTTTGAATGAACAGGCCTAATTTTGCAGAAGCATTCTTTATAGATATTCAGTTATCCTTCTAGCGACACACACACACAATTTTCCAAATGAAAACAACAACCAAAAACCATTGTGTCTTTATCATTATTTTCCTTGGTGTCCTTCAGGTTTCCCTACTGTCTTTTGAGACAAAAATAATGCAATCCGTTTACTTGTTAAAGCGCATTCGAAATGTTCTCCCTCTGCCACCTTTAGACTGTCACATCACTGTCTCTAGTTGTTTTGGTGATAAGGAAGTAACACCTGAACCAAGATCTGAGCAGGACATAGCCAGGTGAGCAGAAGGGGGAGAAGCATACCATCTGAGGGTACACTCCTGAGGTGAGAGTTTATTATTATTTTAATACATATTTTTATTGATTTCAGAGACAGGAAGGGGGAGAGAGAGGTAGAAACATCAATGACGAGAGTCAATGATCGGCTGCCCCCTGCACACCCCCTGGTGGGGATCGAGCCTGCAACCCAGGCATGTGCCCTGACGGGGAATCAAACTGTGATCTCCTGGATCATAGGTTGGTGCTCAACCGCTGAACCATGCCGACCAGGCGAGTTTATTATTTTTAAGCAAATGAAATAAGGCCAGGGTAGATAAGGTATAGGCCAGCAAGGGGCCAGTGATTACACAGCAGGTTGAATAAATGGGCAGAACCCTTGGCCTGACAAAGATGTGAGTCTCTATTCTAACAGAAATGAGAAGCCACTGAAAGACTTTAAGCAGAAAAGTGATAAGCCTGATGTTAAAATTATCACGCTGATGGCAATGTGGATAGTGCACTGGAGAGAGCAAGGGCAGGAGTGGAAGGGCCAGTCAGGAAGCCACCAACCCACACAGGAAGAGGTCACAGTGCCGTGGAGCAGGGTGCGGACAGGAGAAAGCAACCTGGCTCTGCGAAGGGCTTCGTGAGCTGGGGGAAAGGGGAAGGAGGAGGAAGGGCGTGTAAGACCTCCGGGTTCTCTGGCTCAAGCAGCTGGAGCGAGAGGGGCCATTACTAAGACGCAGAGCACTGGAGAAGGAGCAGAATGGGAGTGGGGTAAGAGAGCAAAAGTTTGGTTTGGGACATGTGAACACTGACACCCCTGCGTGATAGCCAAGTATCAAGTAGAATTGGTGACATAATCCTAAGGTTCACAAATGAGGTCAGGGCTGGAAATACAAACTTGTGAACCACTGATACTATATATTCATAGACAGTGTGTAATATATTCATGGGCAGTGTAGGTCATTCTCCACAGTTAGACACGTGATTCTGAGGTGTCTGCTCTTCCTGGCAGCTACAACCACAGAGATCCAGGGCAACTCACTCTCTACCTTCACGGTTTTGTTCTACAGAAGGCTCTTCCTGTAAAATTATTTCTCTTTTCCCATTTCCCCATGCCCTGTTTTAGAGCCAAAAGAATTAAAAGGGCTATCAATGCAAATTTCTAAAAGGAACATTTTAAGAAAGAATGTTATTTGTATTAAAAATAAAAACAAAACAAAACAAAAAGTCCCATGGGGCTGAAGAGAAAGTTTACTAAGAGAATTCCTTCCCGTCTACCTTTTACTCTTACCCTTTTTCCCCAGCCAGGTCCTCCACTCTAACTTTGACTAAGTATATGTATATGCTGTTTTTTTCATCCTGCAAATATCTGCTTCACTCACTGTGTGTGTGCCTGCATGTTTATATGTGTTTGTATGTACACATACAGCGTGCATGCACGCACACACACACACACACACACACACACACACACACACACACAGCCTTTTCCTTGAATGTATACTTATTCATGGCAAATGAGATGCAAGCTTCTGGCGGGCAGACACACCCAGGGAAGCTGGCATTACACTCATCAGTAGCTACTCAATAAACACTGCTGCCTGCTGAGGATATCAGACGCTACATAAATATGTTGAGAATCATGATCCTTCACATTTATTTTTTGTGTGCATTCATTTCCAGTTTTGAAGTCAACCTTTACTTTATATGAAGTCTAACACTGTATCTTTTCTGTGTTCTAGATTTGGGACTCTCAACTAAGGTAATTAATTAAGCTATTATTTTATTATTATTCTGGGCTAAACATGTTTAGGTATACATGTTTAGCGCTTTTGATGTGCTAAAACTGTGGGACTCTGCATTTTAAACATCTTTACATTACCCCTATCAGTTCAAAAACGCCTGCTAACATAATATAAAGACACAGACAGCTCATGAATTTGTTAGGAACTCTCATGGTAGACCACTGAACTTGGTCTACAGGAAAGGGATCACTCCAACAAATATTGAAGGCTTTGTCACTTGCTTATTAAGCACCTTGGAATTTTAAAACGGTGGCATGTGGTAAGCAAATACAACATGACAAATCCTACTCCTAACTGGGACTGTAGAGGCACTTTGGCCATTTCCACTGTTGAGTCTCCATGGAAAGAATGAAAGAGAATTGCTGCAGACAGTGAATTAATGACTTTCTTTCATCATAACTGACAAAAAGGCTTTGAGCTGTTTTCTAGCAAAAGGAGGGCATAATTTTTACTTCCTTTACTAAAGAAAATAATAAATTTATTTTTGGGAATAATACAATTTTAACAATAAGTCATGGAAAGGAACTTGAATTTATTGGTCTACTTGATATCTATCTGAAAGGTTAATTTAGAAATGCAACAAAATCATAGGACTGCTATAGGTCTCATCTAGTTCCATATAGTTAGAAAGGCTTTGTTATTGGTATTTTGAGTTAATTTTTAGTTGTTAGCCTTATTAGATTTTTTAAGCATTTTCAGAAACAATTTTCACCTTTCATGCTAATGCAGTAGAATCATCCATTTAAAAATATTAGCACATAGGGATAGCCATACCAATGAATGCAGAGAAAAATTACTAAGTCATGCTAAGCTTTAGCTGTAATAGCCAGAGAATGATTTTGACAGGAAAATATTGCTGACATTCTTGTTTTAAAAGCATACAAGGAATTCAGACCAGAGGACAATGCATATTAAATTACTGCATGTTCGCGTAACATAAGCCAAGCTATAAGCATGTAACAGAAGAGGCACAGGAGAAAGGACTGTTTTGCAAGAAAAAATTTCAAGAGCAAAGAGTAGCACAAAGGAAATACCTTAAGATCTTGCCTTTCCAGATGCAAAAGTTCAGCCCCTCTGATGTCATGACGGATGAAGATTTCTTTGTACTCTCCCAAATTGATCAGATCCAGCCAAGCAGCAACTTCCTCTGTGCCCCATTTCTGAACTACCAAAGTTAAGAGCAAAACCCCCTTAATTTCTACATGCTCAATGCATTACAAAGCAAAGGTTGGCCAAAGAAGATGCAAACAGAGTATAGCAGCAGTGCTAGCAAAGGGAAAGGTTAAAGGTGTTTCAACAAAACTACAATTCCATTTTTCCCATGCAGGTCAACACAAGGATCACAAAGACATTCACTGCAGTGCACCTGTGCTCTTAGAGTTAGCTCAATTTCCTCCTTAAAGCCACCTAAACTACACTGTATGTAGAAAAGATGTACTTCTCATTAGGATCAGTACAAGGTCTAAATAAGTTCTGATGGTTTCCTTAAGACCATATATGAAACTGGTTATAGTTTAATTAGCTAAAAATGCTAATTAAAATTTAAAATCTAACATAGGGTACTCAATTTTACGCAAACTTCTGCTTCAGGTCTTGCTGACTTTAAGTGTTGCCTTTATTAATTCTCTTATTATTAATTATAAAAATAAATGTCCTATTAAACTGATTTAACATCATCTAAAAACGGTCACCACTACTCTCTAAGATTAATTGGATTGTTACTTTTCATTCTTTTAAACATTTTATTTAACACTGATTAATTTTAAAAAGCCTACTTATTTGCCATATTTGGTTTTAAAATGCCCTTCAACAGCTGCTCTCTGATCGTCAAAAATCACTTTTGAAAAAGTGATAGTTGACACAGAAAAGTTAGAAACTGATTTGATTGTGAAAGGCAACTACCATCAGATGCACAGAACTTGAAGGTGCTTTAGCCCTAGTACAGGGTTAAAGTGAAGCTCCAGGGAAAGGTGGGAAGGGAACTAGAAAGACAACTTGGAGGAGAGAATTTAGCCTTTGCTTGGGGACACAAATGTCATAGTAGACGCCATTACTGAGGGGCTGAAATGGTGTACTAAATTCTTAAAACAGGAGAAAGAAAATACAGAACTTTAGGTAGAAAATGTATTTGGCAAGCTGAAGGAATATATGAAAGTTTCTATATTCCATTTATCGAAATGATCGCGATTTTGAACTTTGAAGAAGAGAAACAAGTTAGACGCCGATGCCTTGAGTTGCAATTGAGCAAGACAGAGAACCATCTGCACAGACGCACTGACAGCCACCAAACTAAGTGGAGGCAGATCAGCAGCCACCTAGTCTTCTTGTGTGTTTCATAACTACTGATTCCTACTGATATTTGGACATATTTTAGGTGCAATATAATTCTTTACTATGGTAAAATGAACATTAAATTAAACTCACCATTTTAAGCATTTTATAGTGGCATTTATTACATTCATGATGTTGAACAATGACTGCCACTATCTAGAACTTTTCATTGCCTCATTGGTATCAGTTTAATAAGCTACTTTCCCATGTTATCCTCTGGTGGGCCACCTACCAGGCTGCGAACTTGTCTTCTGCTTCTGACCCTTTTCCTTTTTGAATTTCGGCACTATACGAAATACTGTGCTTCTGCTGTTCCTCTTGGTGCAATCCATAGGAGGCTCCTGCTCGAGAGGAGCAAGAAAAGAATTTTCTCAGGACAGTAGAAGAGAACCTTCTCTAATGTTAGCGAGAGCGCAGGGCCAGGTCACACACACAAAGCACTGTTGAAGCGGTAACATCTTAAAAAACGTTCACGAAGTCATATCCTACTGAAAACGTACTGGTTCCCGCATTACCTTGGTTCACATAAAAAAGCCTTTTCTAGTTTGTTCATCAACAGTACATTTGAAAGTAATGTTCAAAATTCATTTTCTCCTGAATATCTCTTTTACAAAAGATGAGTTCACATTCTGGCATCCTCAAGCCTGCATCTCTAAACAGGCTGCACTTTACATACCTCGTCCTCGTTTGGGTGAAGGATGTAGTACAGCCAAGGGATCTCCCTCAGCTTCTGCAGCTCCACCTCCACAGAGTGCAAGGCGCTGGAAACCCGCTCCTCGTGCGGCGACTCCAGCTGCTAGTCACCAGCAGATTAAAAAAAAACACAAAACAGGCTCAGTGCCCAACCTCACCGAGAGTAAGCTGTTTAATTTAATAATGAACATCCTTATCAAGATGGCGGCGTAGGTAACAGCTGCACCCGCCGCCTCCCGCAACCACATCAAAATTACAACTAAAATTCAGAACCACCATCCCTCAGAGCCTCCTGAGATCTGGCTGAACGGAATCCCCACAACCAGGGACCTGAAGGAGCACCGAGAGCGGGAGGAGGGGCGGAGACCCGGGTGGATCAGGGCTGAATCATGGAAACACGGCCGGCCGAGACCCGGGAGGAACATCTCGGCAGCAGAGATTTCCCGGAGGAGTGAGGGGTCCCAGCCCCGCAGCAGGCCCCCAGCCCAGGGCTCCAGGGCCAGGAAGAGACGTCCCCACAACTCCGGGCTGTGAAACCAGCGGGGACTGTAGCTGAGCGTCCCGGAGGCTGCGGGAGTCCCAGGCTTTCCTCTTAAAGGGCCCGCACACGGACTCACTCGGACGAGCTCCTTTGGCGAGTCCTCCCCACACAGAGCCAGCAGGCAGGCTCCACATTTGAGTCTCCAGCACCTGACTCACACCTTTGGCCCCGCCCCGTGATTCCCGGAGGCCCCGCCCCTCCCACCTGCAGGCTCATCTAGGCCATTTCCAGGGGCTTTTCTGTGCAAGTGGCCTCTGGAGACTCATGCTTAGAACTTTCCTAAACTCTCTCAAGCAGCAGCAGCAAGCCCCATATGGCTTGATAAGCGGCCCCAGGCCCGGCACTAGTGGCAGCCTGCATTGGCTCATAGCATGGCCTCTCCTGGACACCTCCAAGCCCAGCACAAGTAGCAGCCAACTATGGTTTGCTGTGTAGCTCATGCTGGGTGGCCCTGGGCAAGGCACTGGCACAGGATGACTTTGCACCTCCCCAGAGGCCCCAGAGACAGTGCACCTGGTGGTCAGACTCGACCACGCTGGATTACAACCCTACCACATCCACAAGTGACACTCAAGGGGTGCACTTGGTGAACACCAAAGCCCCACTGAAGTAAATCCTGCTCCATAGGGGGGTCTCCAGCACAGTAGCTCTCTGGCTGTAGTTGCAGCTGGTCCTCACAGCTGATTGGCCTGGGGGTCAATTCCTCCCAGTGACGCCAACAGCAACCAAGGCTCAACTACAACAGGTCAGAGCACACAGCCCACACAGGGGAGCACCTAGAAGGCCCAGCTCAGGTGACTGGAGGCTGAGCTGCTGGATCCTATGGGACACCTACTACACAAAGCCACCCAACAAATTCTAGGAGACATAGCAGCTCTTCCTAATACATAGAAACAAACACTTGGAAGCAGCCAAAATGTGGAGGCAAAGAAACATGTCACAAAGGAAAGAACAGAAGAAATCTCTAGAAGAGGAACTAAATGAAATAGATCCAAGAAAGCTAACAGATACAGAGTTCAGAATTTTGTTTATAAGGTTGTTTAAGCATACTATTTGGGAAATAACTGAGAAAACTGATAACATAATAAAGTATCAATTTGAAATGAAGGCTACACAAACTGAAATGAAGAATAATTTACATGGAATCAACAGTAGAATAAAAGACACTGAGAATCAAATGAGCAATTTGGAACATGAGGAAACAAAAAACACCCAACCAGAAGAGCAAAAAGAAAAAAGAATCCAGAAATATGAAGACAGTATAAGGAGCCTCTGGGACAACTTCAAGTGGCTCAAGATTTGTATTATTGGGGTGCCAGAGGGAGAGGAAACAGACCAAGAAATTGAAAACCTATTTGAAAAAGTAATGACAGAAAACTTCCCCTACCTGGGGAAAGAAA